AAAGCCCAAGTAGTTGAGCGCCGCGCGTGGCGATACGGTATTCAACAGTTGATTTAGTTCGTTTCCGTACTTTGGCGGTCGAATTTCCACATGAACATTCTTTTTGGTCAACTTCACAAGGTCGCCCAACGCTGAGTTCAGAAAGCTTGAAAAGTTCGAGCCAGATCCAGACGCGCTGCTGCCTTTGGCAGCGTTGAGGTTCACTAGTCGTAGGCAAAAGTTGAGCACTTCAACTGCTCTGGTCGTGGTGTCATTGGTGTCTGATGTGAGGAAACCCATTGTTTTTTCCACCCTCTTCACAAAAGCAGTCAAAGTAGCATTGTTTCGGAAGTCGCGGATATTCAGCGGTGCGGCTGCGTGACCCAGCACAATGGTGACACTTGTGTCGGAGCCGTGCTCGACGCGTAAACTCAGCAGTGTGGATAACTGCAGCAAGCGAACCAAACGGCCAGCGACGTGCAGTATATCCACGTCCAACGGTGCCTCGTGGTACGGCCATCCGGCTAGCCCTGATGCATTTAGAAAATCAAGGAAAGGAGTGGCGTCTATACGGCCAACGTCTACGCAACTTCTCCACATTGCTGCTGCCAGCGACTGCTTGTTGTCACTCTTAATTTTTCGCCAGACGTTATCCTGGATGTCTTGCATGGCGGCGTCGTCCGCTGTCATAGCGTCAGGTGGTTCGCGTTTGGGCATCCAGCGGCGCGAACAAACATAGTCGTAGAAACTGTCACACGGGCCGGTTCCGAGCACGCTAGCCAGCCTGTCAGCTTCACGTTTGCAGTCCGGTGCATGACATAGCTTGTATCCGCGCATGAGCACTGTAGATGCTACTCCTGACAAGTTGAAGAGCCACGGGCCGTGCATAACGCCTCCTTCCTCCTCTTCCTCTATGGTTTCCCGGCTTTCGCGATAGCGGCCATACTGTCCAATCAGTGCTATCACACAGGCGGCTATGCCTAAAATGAAAATTACGCTCAGCACGAGGTTGCCTTGGTTGAAATTCCGCCGCATAAAATTGTAAGACGCCATCCAGGGATTCTCAGCAGCTTTACCACCATACCCCAGCGGTGTTCCTCCGCTAAACGATGACGTCGATATTGTCGTAGAAAAGCTTGTCGGTTGTTGACTGGCAGAGTTTCCGGCCTTCCAGCTGTCATTGCTGCTCGAATTAGTTCCGTACCGGTTCTGATAGGTTAGCAAGGGTGCTGAAGCTGTATGCGACGTAGGAACTGGGGGACTAGCGGGTGGAGTTTGGATCTCGACCGTGAGTGAACGCTGCTTGGTCGGAAGGGCGGGGTCGGATGGCGGCACCATCTGTGGCATCCCGAGAGATGGCAGCGTTGTGAACGAAGGCTGTGGCATCGGTGCCGATAACACTGTTGGACTGGGCATCGCCTGAGGCATTAGAGGGGAGGTCTGCTGTGATGGTGGAGGTAGCGCTGGCATGGGAAGCGACGGCGGTGGGAACTGTGGTGATTGTGCCATTGGTGACGGCTGCATCATGTTGTTTCCTATCATCATTGACATGGGCGGAACAGCTTCAGCACTCGACCCGAATGGCACAGGAGGCGACATATCGGCAATAACTGACGGCCCATAGCCGGCCACGTAGCGTGGAAAACGAGGCGGGACACGCTCGTAGGAACGCGCCCTACGTCGCATATAAGTCAGAGGTGGTCCCATCAGCCCGTCGTAATAGTACGGCGGAGGACTTGCGTACATGGGGCGGCCGGGCCTGCCTGGTATCTCGGGGTCGTCGCCGTAGTAGCGGCGTGGTCGGCCTTCGTATGATCGCCGATGACGCCGACGACGGCGGCGGCGCCGACGCCGTGACCCACTCGACGTGCTGTCCGAGTCGCTGTAGCGGCGCCGGCGTCTCGATGAGCGAGATCCTGAGGAGCGATAGCGACGTCTCCGCCGCTTTGGCCGGTCGTATCGATCATCGTCGAGTCTATCGTCCCGCTGATGGGATGGTCGCGGTGGTCTTTGGCAAAACGCAGGCCCGCAGTTGGCGCATTCGGAAGACGTGCGTTCTACCATTCCAGGTGTGTCGAGCGGTGAGGGAGACCACTGGCCCGCCACGCGCTGCCTGGATTTGCTCCGTGGATCCGAGAACTGGTAGACCCTCTCCGAACCACTGCCACTCGCACTACTTACTATGCTGCCGTCGCCTAGAACCACGTGGGTGACAATACGGTATTTTTGTGAGACGACGCTGCTATCTGTTGTGTCGGTGTATGTTCCGCTTCGACCTCTACGAAATCGCCGCCCTTCGCCTGCCGGCGGTAGGTACGCCTCTCTCTGTATGCGTTGTCTGGACCCTCTCAATAAGTCGTCTGTTTGCGTAGATACGGAAGTCGTTGAAGATGCCGTCACACTAGCTTTGGCTAAGCGTTTTGATGTAGTTTTAGAGGTTGTAGGAGACGGAGTCTTCCCGTCGCCTACTTTTTCCACTGTTGAACTTGATGACTGTGCTGAAGTGGGAGGGCTCTTGCTCTTCTTCTTCTTCTTTTTCTTCTTCTTTTTCTTCTTCTTCTTTTTCTTCTTCTTTTTCTTCTTCTTCTTCGTCTTATGCTTTTTCTTCCGATGCTTTCGACTCTTTTTGTGTTTTTTACGCTTTCGACTCTTTTTACGCTTCTTGTCTTTCTTACGCTTCTTGCGTTTCCGGCTGCGGCGTTTCTTCCTGTCGTCGTCTTCCACAACATATGCAGTGACAGTTGTCCTGAGCGGGTCACCTGCGCTTAGGATGGTAGCTTTCGCATTAGCAAGATCTTTGCCCACACTATCTTGAACAAGTCCTGTTACTGACTCTAGTAGTAGACAGGCAGAACGCAGGCGATCGACGTCTGGCCTGTTGACTAAACCGGTAACATCGGGCCTGTTGACAGCTTCTTCAACTCTTGCGCTGAGTCCTGGAAATGAGGGTAGACGCCATAGGCCAGAGTCTTCGGACAGTTGCGAGCACCTCTTAGTCCATGCGTCTGTAGAATCGAAGTTATTAGATTTTCGAGACTTCCTCGAACGCAGAGAGTCAGCGGATGTGGAATTTCTAGATATCAAGGACCTCCTACGGTTGTCACAAGATCTTTTCCTATCGCCTGCCATTCTGTGACGCGCAGATTTGACAGACGATCTCGAGTGCGTCTGAGATGTAGAGACCGTGGATGAGGCTGAACCTTTACGCATTGTTAGCGTTGCGGGGTACGTGTATGTCTCGCTTTGAACTACATTGTCCATTACCTCGAAGCAGTCTTGAACCATTCTCACTACAGTTTCGGCTCCTTTTACTTCAGTGAAGTTAGATGGTGTCGAGCGTATTCCGGTTTCAATTACATCATCCATGGCTTGGAAGCAGTCCTGGACCATTTCGACTACGGTTTCGGCTCCTGGTAATTGGGTGTATTTCGATGTTGCGGGCGTGCTGGACGTATCCTCGTTGAAGGTGCCCACTCCTCCAAGTAATACCGTGTTCGTTGACGACGACCCCTGCCCCGCAGTGTCATCCTGGTGGGAACTATCAGTACCGATACCGAGCGCATTCGCAAGGAGATTCAAGACCTCGTTTTTCGGCTGTTCCATTGAAGGTTGCTCAATCACTTGAGTAATGTTCGGTGTTGCGGGATTGATGATGAGCGTGACATTGGATACAAATGTTTCTTCCGTACCCTGAACTGCAACGGTGGGCTTTTCGACGACAGTAACAACGGGCGGAGCTGTCGTGAGTCCCCGCCTATATGCTTCGACGCTCTCTTGGCTAAACGTTCCATCCTCACTCCCGCCGAGGTAATCCTCAAGAACAACTGTCTTTTCAACGGATCCCACATTATCCGGGCTCAGCGGCACTGCGTCTACTTTTAATCTCGTTTTTATCTTCAGCTGCGAACCAACGGGTCCGAATCCGGGAGGGGTGAATAGTGTTAAAGTTGGTTTTCTCTCAAGCGCAAACACCTCTGCTTTTTGTTCGCGCTTCAAAACTATTTCAGGTGTTTTTACCGACTGCTCCTGCTTTGCATCAAACATTTTGTCGAATTGCTGCCATTGTTGTTTTGCCACATCTTGTGCCACCTGTGGCTGCATTGATTCCAAGCCTTTTTGATTACCTTTCATTGGCAGATCCTTCTGACAGCCGAGTGAGTCCCGCGTATTTCGATCAGATACAACTTTCTGTTCTTTGTCATGCTGCATGGCGGATTGGTGCGCCCCTTGTTCTATGCCTTTTTCCTGTTTGTACGGCTGTTGCGTTACTTGTTTCGCCTGCGCTGCAGGACCCGGCTGAGCATTCTGCTCTTGCTCCTTATTTAACTGCTCCGGTATTTGGTACCTCTCGAGCTGAGCCTCCTGTGGCTGCTTCTGCTGCATCGCTCTTGAAAAGTGGGCTCTCTGTTCCATCTCGTACGCCTTCTCCAGCGCCTGCGCTCTTTGGTACCTCTGGCGTTCCTCCTTTTCTTCGGCCTGACTATTTAACTGCTCCGGTATTTGGTACCTCTGGAGCTGAGCCTCCTGTGGCTGCTTCTGCTGCATCGCTCTTGGAAAGTGGGCTCTCTGTTCCATCTCGTACGCCTTCTCCAGCGCCTGCGCTCTTTGGTACCTCTGGCGTTCCTCCTTTTCTTCGGCCTGACTATTTAACTGCTCCGGTATTTGGTACCTCTGGAGCTGAGCCTCCTGTGGCTGCTTCTGCTGCATCGCTCTTGGAAAGTGGGCTCTCTGTTCCATCTCGTACGCCTTCTCCAGCGCCTGCGCTCTTTGGTACCTCTGGCGTTCCTCCTTTTCTTCGACCTGACTATTTAACTGCTCCGGTATTTGGTACCTCTGGAGCTGAGCCTCCTGTGGCTGCTTCTGCTGCATCGCTCTTGGAAAGTGGGCTCTCTGTTCCATCTCGTACGCCTTCTCCAGCGCCTGCGCTCTTTGGTACCTCTGGCGTTCCTCCTTTTCTTCGGCCTGACTAAGTGGCTTCCACTGACCGCTCCTGGTTCATGTTCCACGTTTTCTGATACCTGTCACGCGCCATCCCTTGTGAGTTTTTGTACTGCATGTGCTGCTTGTTCCAGTTCATATGCTTTCTCCATTGTACTGACATTTTCGGCGCGCCTCTCTTCGTCTTCGCCGTTCTTCACGTGAACTTCTTCGTCTTTTCCAGTCTCTGTCAATTGCTCAGCCTGTTGCTTTTCGTAGGTTCTCTCCATCTCGCGACACTTCTGGCGAGCGTCTCGCGCTGTTTTGTCATTAGATACATTCCCAACTTGTCCCAAAAGCTCAGCCTGCTGTTTTTCGTAAGCTCTCTCCATCTCGTGACATCTCTGTCGAGCCTCTCGTGGTGTCTCATCGTCAGTGGCCTCTCTTATTTTGCTCAAAATGTCAGCCTGTTCCTTTTCATAAGTTCTCTCCATTTCGCGACACCGTTGGCGAGCCTCTCGTGGTGTCTCATGATCAGTGGCATCTCTCATTTTGCTCAACATGTCAGCCTGCTGCTTTTCGTAAGCACTCTCCATCTCGCGACACTTCTGGCGAGTGGCTTGCGCTGTCTCGTCATTAGCGACATTCCCAAATTGTCCCGAAAGCTCAGCCTGCTGCTTTTCGTAGGCTCTCTCCATATCGCGGCACCTCTGGCGAGCGTCTTGCGCTCTCTGGTCATCAGTGTCGTCTCTCATTTTTCTCATCTGCTCAGCCTGCTGCTTTTCGTAAGCTCCCTCCGTCTCATGACATCGCTGGCGAGCGAACTGATCAGCCTGCTGTTTTTCGTAGGCTTTCTCCATATCGTGGCACCTCTGGCGAGCGTCTTGCACTCTCTGGTCATCAGTGGCGTCTCTCATTTTTCTCATCTGCTTAGCCTGCTGCTTTTCGTAAGATCCCTCCATCTGCCGACACGTACAGCGAGTCTCTTGTCCTTTCTGTAACTCGGCAGCGTTGAATTGTGTTGGTGTTGTGGCAGTACACTGAATCTGTCTAGCCATATCGAGCTGACAGCGCAGTTGGTGTACTTGTTGGTAAAGGCGATTCAAGTGCCCGGTTTCCCACCGTTGAATGTCTTGTGCGTGCTGATACGGCATTGCGTGGGCACTGTTGTCGCTTGTTCGCTGGTCATATGCGCCCTCTGTTGTCGGTAGTCGTGGCTGTCGGTAGTCTCCCTGCCGGTTTATTGTGTCCGTTGTCCATTGCTGGCTGTACATGTTGGTAGAACCCATCGCTTCACCGCCGCTGGCCGGTGTCCCGATAGCAGCCAAGTCGTCTTCGCGTGAAGACCGGTGCTGCTTATCCCGTCTACTCTTTTGTTTCAGTGGCTCTGTCGCGGTCACTTCTGTCGGCTGTATCACGCCTGCAGGTTCTCCAATGGTCGCTGCATCCATGGCTCTCTCGTCCATAAGAGGGCTCTCTGGTGCTGCAGCTGTGGAGGTGTTCGCAACTGCTGGAGATACCAGCTGCGACAACGATGCGCCCAAGGACTCCCTGGACTCAGTCGTCTTGCCGGTGGTCGCCGTTGAGCTGCTGTCATCTCTGCTGCGCCTCCTCTTCTTTTTCTTCTTTCTCTTCTTTTTGGACTTTCGCTTCTTGCTTCTCTTTTGGCGGCTTCTGCGACTCTTCTGCGATGCCGAACCGCTGCTTTCGAGCGATGGTTCAGCGGCACGCGCCTTGGTTTCAGGCGAGCGCACAAGCTTGCGCACCTCGCACGATCTGCGCTCTTTTTCGAACTCCTGCACACGGATGTCACGCTCAAAAGATAGCTTTCGGCTGGGTTTCACGATCTCCTCGCCCCAGAAGCGATCGTCGTTCTTGTCTCCTGCGCAGAAAAAGCACTGAGATTTGTCTCTGGCGCCGCCTGGCGAACGCGCGCGTCTCACAGCAACGAGTTGGAAGCTTGCGTTAGAGTTCAGAGAAATTTTTTTACAGCGTATAGAGGAAATATATTCGAGATGGCGAATAAATACACGACGGGGAGAAATAATTGCCTTTTTTTTTTCAAGCAGGTTTCATTATATATATTACTTTACATCTCGAGCGTTCTGACTTTAAGCGAGCCCAAGGGTGCTCTATGCTTAAAAGTCATCGATTTGTGTTTCCCCTTAAGTTGATTTATTGCCACACGCATTGGCCAGTCAGTAAGTTCCGCATATATGAGCCCAGGAACTTTGTTGCACCCTTTGACCATCTAGAATTGTTATTCAAACTTGTCGTAATTCACCGCTGTCAGGCCGTCTTTCTACGCCCCAAACTTAAGACGTGTAAACAATGCGGACAAAGGGCGTTCTCCACTGAAACGTTCTGGCGGGCTAGTTGGTTCACGTTCTCAAACTGCGCGAAATCGTCATGACACGAGTAAGAAAACACATCTGCGCTCGTGTTCTGTGCGGGTTCTCTCTCTATTGTCCTGGGCATTCGCGCAGTTTAAGAGCGTGTAACAGAGGACTTTTTGTATGCCTAAGTTCTCGGCGAAGTGCCAATACCATAGCGTCTCCGGCTCTACTGAATGGTATATACTCGGTTTCCTTAATGCACTTCAGAAGCTACACGATATCGACCGTGGTCATATCCTACCGCATTTTCATGTTTACGTCGCTGTCAGGACACTCTGTAGTTTCTATATATATAGATGCCACAAAAGTAACTTATCTATTGAAATCAGCGAACACTGCGTGAATACTAATATGTTATAATCTGAAAATAATTCAGTTCTGCATCTCCACATTTCTTTAAACCTTCTCGGACTGGGCGTGAGGCCGGCACCAACATGACCGTGCCACTCACGCATTTTCTTCTGCTAACGCAGGTTATCTACTGCTCCGTCGTAAATGCGCATCATCGTAATGGCAGCGCAATCACTGAGCGACATACATCGGCGACTACACTGTGCAGAGCCGAGGACCTAGGCCAGGACGACGATTGCGGTGTGTGCCCGGCTACCCCTTTTGGACAGTGTCAACTGCCGATCAACGAACCCTGGGCGGATGAAGGCCGTGTCTACCAAGTACAAAAGCAGGACTGGATCAGTACAGCGACGGGGCGTGAGGCCGGCACCAACGTGACCGTGCCACTCACGCATTTTCTTCTGCTAACGCAGGTTGGCAGTTGTTCAAATGAGGGTTTCATCTTTTACGTACTCATGATGCCGGTCACGCCCCGTAGTTCAAGCACGGACTTAAAATGCCGTGTTGTGTGTTGTTATACTAGACGTCGCTTTGTTTTACTACGCAGATACGCGTTTTATTTCTTGCTTTTGTTTCTTTGTGGTGACGTTGAGTTAAACCCTGGTCCGACTACGGCAGAGGCGCTAAATCAAATTTTGGATGGTCAGAAAGACATAAAGGCCAAATTACAGGCTATTGAGACGTCGCAAAATCAAAGTAATACAGCTATACAAGAGCTTGAGTCACGAATAGATTCAATGGAAAGCGCAATAGCCCAGTTCGCAAACTTGAAAGAAGCTGTGACAGAATGCAGAAAGAAAACTGAAGACACGCATAGTATCGTAAAGGATTTATCCGCTAAAGTGGATGACCTGGAAAACCGCAGCAGGCGATGTAACTTGATATTTTATGGTGTCGCGGACAGTGAAAGTCGTGAATTGCGCAGCTGCTTCTGAGAAAGAAGTTCAAGAAATCGTATCCGGTTTAGGATTATCGTCAGTGAAGATTGAGCTTGCACACAGGCTTGGACGGTACCATGGAGAATGACAAACCGCGACCACTTATTGCAATGTTTTCAACGTACAAAGACAAACAGACGATCTTAGCCAACGCTAGGAAGCTAAAAGGTTCCAGTATTAGTATATCGGAAGATTTCTCACAGACAGTGCGCAGGAAAAGAAAGTTTCTCTGGGAATTCGGCGAAAGGAATGCTTCTAACGGTGCTCGCGTAAATCTGAAATATGATAAACTGTTTTTAAATGGGCAAATATACGTGCACGATGAAAATGGTGGCCAGGTTGTGCAAACTAGATGACGCATGCGCAGCTCTATAGCAGATGTAGCTTTCCTGGTTGTCAATTGCCGTAGCATCAAAAACAAGGTGGAAGATTTTCATAACCTGCTTTGCGTGGTAAAACCAAGCATTGCGCTTGGAACCGAATCATGGCTAGATGCTGACGTAAGAGACGCCGAGGTCTTTCCAAGCTGTTACAACTGCTTTAGGAACGATAGAAATCGTCATGGCGGTGGCGTCTTTATACTTGTTGATAGTCCGCTGTCTTGTTCCGCACTTGATCTAGGTGGCGGCACTTCAAGATCAGATTATCAAATGGAAAAACATTATCAGTGTGCTCATTTTATAGGCCTCCTGCAAGTTCTACAACCGTCATGACCGATTTTTCAGAGACACTAGAGACCGTCCATACTGATTATTTTGTTATAGGCGGGGACTTTAATATTCTAGAGCTTTCGTTGAATGATCAGTCTTCCAGTGCGGGGGCTACATCTGCAGCAGCAAGGGAAATGTTGGACATGCTTAAAAGCTTTTCCTCAACTCAGATAGTAAAGCAAAGCACGAGACAAAATAATATCTTAGACTTATTCTTAACTAATCAGCCAAACTGGGTAAAAACGGTTTTGGTGGTACCTGGCATTAGCGACCATAAAGCTGTTTTGTGTGAAATGAAGCTAACATACGAAAAGTCTCAGAGAGCCGCATCATAAAAAATGTATAATTACAGCCAGGGAAACGTAAACCAGATAGGCCTTGCATTGGAAGCTTTCTCTCCAGAATTCGAACGCCGTTCCGGTGCTTGCAGCATTCAAGAGTTATGGCTCCTTTTCAAAACAAAAATGCTTGACCTACAGGAAAAGTACGTGCCTTCATGGGTGCAGACTACACGTCGTACTAAATCGAAGCCATGGTTTAATGGTGAGCTGCGGCGCCTTACCGGTAAACGGAATAGGGTATATACAAAATTTAAGAAAAACCCCACCTCGGAGCAACTTGAAACTTGAAAAACCAGCAACTTGAAAACATCAGAAAACTTCTGCAAACAAAAATCCGTCATGCGAAAAAAAGATTTTTTCAACGATCTGCCTACTCGATTCAAAACAACAAAAAAGTTGTTCTGGAATCTGGTCAAATGTAATAAAAAACATGGAGTGTGTATTCTTTCGCTTCAGCATGACGGTAAAGAAATGGAAAATAGCTTAGGTAAGGCCAGCTGTTTTAACACATTTTTTTCCTGCATATTTTCGTCGTGTTCGTCAAACAGCGCTTTGCCTACGCCTACTAACAGATGTATGACAGATATGGATGACGTAGCTGTTGATGAAAACGGCATCCAGTGTCTCTTCGAACACTTAGACCCTAGCAAAGCAGGAGGACCGGATGGATTGAGAGGCGGTTTTCTCAAAATGTGTGCACCGTTCATCGCGCCTTTCCTTAAGGTTCCATACTCGAAATCATTGAGAACGGGAAACCTGCCACGCGACTGGAAGGTGGCATGCGTTGTGCCTGTGTATAAATCAGGTCCTCGTGAACTAGTCAGCAATTACAGACCAATATCTCTGACAAGTATAGCCTGCAAAATATTAGAGCACGTCTTGTGCAGCAATGTAATGACACACATAACCAATCAAAATCTTCATAATCCAAGACAGCATGGTTTTAGACGAGGGCTTTCCTGTATAACTCAATTAACAGAATTTGTTCACGAAGTTTGTAGTTCACTGGATGAAAGCTCCTGTGTTGATTCGACATTTGTAGACTTCAGGAAAAGCGTTCGACCTCGTAGATCACGGGCTGCTTGTATGTAAGCTACGTTGGTTTAACATCAATGAACAGGTGATAACATGGATTCGGGAATACTTTTCCTTGCGTTCTCAGTACGCAGTGGTAAATGGCGCAAAATCGGGTATGGCTAGCGTAACATCTGGTGTCCCTCAGGGCTCAGTGTTGGGCTCCTTGCTCTTTTTTATTATTCATAAATGATCTTCCCGACACCATCGCTTCTTCCATCAGATTGTTTGCTGATGATCTAATAATATATATGGAAGTTGCAAGCGTCGATGATACCGTTCTTTTACAAAATGATTTAACGAAAATGGTAAAACTGGTGCCGTGATTCACATATGCAAATAAACGTACAGAAAACTGTTCATATGCGTTTCACACACACACAAAAAAAACGTATGGCATCGACATTTTATAGTCTGTCTGGTTCTCGTTACAAACTGTTTCAGAGTATAAGTACTTGGGTGTATTCCTTACATCATTCATGTGTTGGCACAGGCAGGTCGATTACGTTACTGCAAAGTCATGTAAGGTGTTGGGATTCTTGCGGCGTAACACAAAGCTGTTTCCTCAGCAGGCCCGCGATCTTCTCTACAACAGCTATGTCAGACCAATATTAGAGTATGGGTGCACTGTGTGGGATCCTCCCACAAATGCCGATTGCGACAGGCTTGAACGAGTTCAGAACATGGCTGCAAGATACGTTATCGGTAGCTATGAGAGAAACCCTAGCATTACTGCCACAAAGGAAACATTAAAATGGGAGCTTCTCAAAAAAGAAGGCAAATTTTGCGCTTGAAGCCTTTTCACAATACATATCATGGCCACATTGGAATAGACCGTAATCGATATATTCTTCAGCCCCATTATGTATCAAGACGAACAGATCATGAGCTCAAGGTTAGAGAATATAGCTGCAGGACTAATCTTTTTAAACGCATTTTTTTCCCCAAAACTACTTCTGAATGGAATCGTCTGCCTGCTGACAAGGTCAGCATAATAGATAACGAAGTTTTTGCGGCCCCTCTTTGACATCTCATTCTGTCTTCAGCTGCAGTCGAATTTTATGCAGTGTTTAGTTCTTATCACATCGTTTCTGTATTTTTTATGTTTGTACAGTATAAATTTCATTTTTGTTTTCTCTCTTCCTCTGGGTTAGCTGATCTTTATGAAATTCATGTCTACTGAGAACAATGTATGCCACTATTTCTCCTTAGTTTTTCACAACCAATGCTTTTAAAATGTATGATTTATAAATTCTCTGTGTAACACACCCCCCCCCCCCCCCCCCCACTGTAACGCCTAAATGGCGTTGTGGGTACGAGTGTAAATAAATAAATAAATAAAGCACTGGGTCTTTGAGAGGCGATGCCATAAGCGTGGTAAATTTATATGAATTTTTGTCAGCAGTATAAAAATTCAAACTTTAGATTGTTTATTGCACTGCATATCAAGCGGCGGTGAGCGCACACGATTTCGAAGCTGTCAATTAACGTGGCCATTTACGTTAAGCTTTAAAACAGCGTGTTTATTATCCACAAGAAGGCACAGTTGAATAACACTAATGTCGGATCGACCGCCAAATACGAATACCGCGCGTCTTCGCGCCTTAATCTTTTAATCTAACTCGTCTTAATCGTAACGCTAAAGTATGGCACACGTACAGTATATGAAATTCAATACTGCTGAATTGTAACTTAACCACGCAAGGTCGCGGGATCGAGTCCCGGCTGCAGCGGCTGCATTTTCGATAGAGGCGAAAATGCCGTAGTCCCATGTGCTCAGATTTTGGTTGCACGTCAATGAACCCAGGTGGCCGACATTTCCAAAGCCCTCCACTACGGCGTCCCTCATAATCATATGGTGGTTTTGGGACGTTAAACCCCGCATATCATCATGTATACACCTAACCAAAGAATACTGGTGCGGCTAAAATAACGAAACGGCGTTTGACTCATATTGACGTCGGTGACGTTTTGACGTGTGCTGCGTTTTGTCGCCCTCCTCCACATACGGAGAGCCGCTAATTGTAGTGCACGATATACTGCACGGCACACAAGACCGAATAAAATAATGATCTAGGTGTTTAACCATTGACAGACGCCATTAAGAGGCCTGCGGAAATGCATACCAGCTGAGGCTGTTTAACATGCGCCTAAGTACAAGGCCTCGGGCATTTTCACCTCCATAGAAAGTGTGGCCGCTGTGATTACAGGTGTTACAGCAATCGAGCACCATAATCATCGCGGCAAGGCATGATGAAATGAAAGGGTCATAGTGATAGCGCTTATCGTCAACACAGATTGCGAAAACATCTCCGCGCGGTGCCGCTATAGCGTGACATCGCGACGCCACATGAACTGCACTCCGACAGTGTATCGGAAGAATTGTCCCTCCTAAAAAGTATTGCCGAATTCTTGCAGTACACTTGCCGGGCACCTCTGAGCACGCATCCCGCAATTTCTTTACATCTAAGCTTTATTCCCAGCTAGCACAAATAGAAGACAAGGCCGCGCTTTGTTTTGTTCGCCCGGCTATACGAGGCGCGCGTGCCAGAGGAGCGAGGCAGCACGGCGTGAAGCCAGTGTGAGGCCGCGTATATATACCGAACGAGCACGGCTAGCTCACCGATGGACACGTCGAGCCGGTAGTCGTACCCTTCTTCGCGGGGGTCCGGCGGCTGCGGTGGGGCCTTCTCGCTCATGACGGCGGCCGCAGCCTCCCGCTGGTGATCGACCCCCTGGTGGCAAACCGGCAAATCGTGCTCGCGCTCGGCAGCCCTGCATCGTCTTCCTCATTACGCGTACCACATGCCGTCCGACGAGAGGCCTTCTTTGGGAGGATTTACGTGCAGGCCACGACGCCATTGTGAAATGAATGGGTTTTATGCCTCAGCGAACTGCAAGCAGTGCTCAAGTGAACATACCTTGCCAAAGAGTGATTAGGTATAGCCAAAATGATAGTGAATACTCATTGCCTGCCCCGCCGCGGTGGTCTGGTGGCTAAAGTACTCGGCTGCTGACCCGCAGGTCGCTGGATCAAATCCCGGCTGCGGCGGCTGCATTTTCGATGGAGGCGAAAATGCTATAGGTCCGCTTGCTCTGATGTGGGTGTATGCTAGAACCCCAGGTGGTCAAACTTTCCTGAGCCCTCCCCTACGGCGTCTCTCATAATAATATGGTGGTTTTGTGGGGTTAAACCCCACATATCAATCAATCAATACTCATTGCAAAAGACACTGACCTACAATGTTGACTTTTGACACTACACCCTTTCCTCTAGTTTAATGTATATAGACCCGTATTCACCAAAAACTTCAGCCGCTGAAAATTTTTGTGAAAGAATATTGAGACCAGGTCTCGATGCGGGACAACATTAATTAAGCCGGCTGACCAATGGGAAAACACTCTCACGAAAAGCAAGTTTAATGAATTCTGTACCGGACTTGTTAGGCAACATGGACTCATCACATGCTGTGTGTAGTACAGAACTCTCTGAGTCCTTAATCAGGATGCCAACTCATTCTACTGAATGTGCGAGGTGAATGTGTCCCAGACGATGCCTTCAGCTGAACTGCCATGAATCACTTTTCAAATAAGTGTTATATTGTAAGATGCGTGACGCACGCGTCACTTCTAAAGCTTAATTTTAAATTATAAAGTTTTGACTTCATCATTTGCCCATTCCGGGATTCCGTTTACTTGTAATTTATCGCTCAGTGAAAGCGACGACCAATCCAGAGACGGTGTATTTGTAAACAGCATACGTCCTGGTAATGTTGGTAAGACTGGGCCCAACCATGAGCCTGTCCAAGCGAATGGCGTAACATGCATGGTATAGGCCAAACCTGTTAACGGTGTGGGAGATGTGCACTAGTAATGCCAGAAGTGCTCGTTCGCTGGATTTCGTGCCGACCGGTTGTGCCCTCGCGATCTCCGACGTCAGCGTAGCTCTGGCCGACTGGACTGGCCCTACGTCATCTCCTGACGCCGATTTTTCAATGACAGCGTAGCTCTGGCCGACTGGGCTCGCCCTACGCCATCTCCTGACGCCGACAAGGGCTCTCGCCGAGTGGTGCCCCATCCTCAGACTCATGCGACCGTGTCCATCTTTCCTATCTCCTCCTTACTTCTGTCGTTCGCTGTCCCTGCGCCTCGCTCTCTCCTTCCTCTCTCTCCATCTCTTTCTCGTTTAATCATATCCTTTTAATCCCTTCTCTACCCCCATCCCTCGTGAGATACTGTTGAGATGTCCTCCCCATGAGAGACAGTTACGGGGCTCACTTTTCTCTTCTTTTCATTTATAATCACTCCCCCCCCCCCCCCTTACGCTAGAAGTACTTGAAGGCAGTGACGCAGTATACGCGTATAGGTGCGTCGATCCTGAATGTGTCATCTCATTACAGTCACTTCCAAAAGCGTGCACAGTGTTCCCCTTCAGGGGCGGCGAATATTCAGCGCAGCGCCCCCCTTCGTATTAAGTTCATGTCTGGGGCAGACTCTGAGCCATCCCCCTCTTAGGTGGCGGGGGGGGGGGGGGGGGCAGCACCCCTCCATACCCTCAGCTGGCACCACCCTGCGACTGCTACTGATGATTGTGATGATGACTATGATTACTTCGACGCTTGCTTTTAATAGCATTACCAGGTTTATAAGGGTTCCAACTATGGCAAGGATGACAGAGTTTGTAACGTGTCATTCGCTACATGACACTTTGCTCACAAACATAAAAAGGGTGGTCAAGATTGACAGTCAGGCAAAACTTTGATCGGGACATCCCTCTCACATAGCGCATGACAATGTTGGCGCTGAACTGCGTGGCTGCATGCAGGCTTCTATATATTTGCTCTCCACAGCCGTGATCTGTCAACGCCACAAATGAATTGCAAGAAGTAGAGACTCATAAAACCACATCGCCAAAGTATCTGCACAAGATTGACAAACAAGTGGTGACCATTTAATCTTAAATACTAGGGATAAGTGAACCGAGATGGAATCATCAGGCTTCCCAAAATGAGCACGCTCTCTTGCTATTTTGCGCCTTGCACTTGAACGTTTTCTGGAATATCGGATCCGTGGCCAGCGGCCTGTTGACGCGCTCCCAATGCGGACCGTTGTGCTGCAGTGACCTCCGCTGACGGTCCGGATCCTCGCACAGAGAGTTCGCGTGCACAAGGTAGAACATCTGCGAAATGTAACAATACCCGCCATTATGCGGAGGAGGCAAAGGTTTATCACAGCGGCCCGCCGCTCCCTCCTTCAACACGTTGGTTCTGTACAACATATACAACACGCTTCACAAATCAATGCCAAAATGAAAACAAACGCCGTCATGCTTCTCACGATGGCTTGCCATTGGTCCTTGGCCTTCCGGGACTAAAGATTGGAACATCAACAAAAATTCTGTTGGGCCAAGCTGGTACACAGCTTTAAAAGCAAAAAAAGTTCAGCGCAAAAAAAAAACAAAAAATAGATCACCACACAAAAAAATAGATGACTGCCATAGATCAGCGGCAGTGTTTGTCTCATCTGTTCTTCGTGGTAAGCGCTGAAGTTTTCGTTTTAAAGATGGGATGTAGACAGTTCCTTGAATGTAATATCAGGGGCCTTCAGCCGCCATTGTCAAAAAAAAAATCTTGGAGGATGCTAGGGCTTCACCTTCAAGAATCGAACGCAACTGCGTATTGGGCCCCATGCGCATTGCCTTCAACCATACATGCCGCAAGGAGAGGATCGTTTGTGCACGTGCCGTTTTAAACTATCCTAGAATTCGTACTGAATTTACATTTGCTAAGTCTCCATTACCCCATGGTCACATCTTTTTTTTCTAATATGCGATGTACCCACGCCTCATCCGTAAGGCACCACGTTCACTTACGCAGCTGCAGACCTTGTAAAGGGTGGGCAGCTTGAAACCCCACACTCGTTGCACGATCGATTCACTTTTTTTACCCCTAGTGCATTCCAAGGATTCTTACACGCAATATCGCATGCGCGAAGGAGACTCCTTCCACTGCATGACATTCATATAACGTTTTCTTCCAAAGCAGTTTCAAGCAATGACGTGGCTCTGTGGTCGAACACCTTCTTGGCACGTAATGGCCTGGCCTGGCTTCGATCCTCACTTCGAACCAAAAATATTTAGTCTTTTTTATTTACATATCTTCCCCGATTTTGTGGCCACGGCAAGATGACGATCTTTCGTTGACAACCAGTGACACCGACGCTGGAATTTCTGCAAAACGAGCTCTTTAACACTGTCGCGAGACCTACGTGGCCATAACTCTGAATCTTTAAAGAGCGACGGTACAGGTCCGACTGGGTAAAGATATGTGACAGACTTTACCCTCCCTTCTTGGGTGAACATGCAGAGCCGACGGTCGCCCCCATCCTCTACCATCCCCAACCCCCATGCGCACGCTTACGGTTGACGTTACGTAGATAGAACTGGTCTATTTCATCGTCAACGATTACCTTGTCCCAGCTCGGCGTGTTTCTGACGCCTTGTCCGAGCCGGCGCACATGCGTGTCGAAGACTTCTTTGGCCGGTGCGAGGGCGCCTCGGTCGACAACTGCATCTCCACAGCCGTGGCTCCGCAGGGCGTCCAGTCGGCTGCGTGACGCGTCCGACCAGTGCGCTTGCTGCAGCAGCACTTGCAGCAGACAGCGCACCAGGCGCGGACCCAAGCGCGCTGCTTGAAACGCGGGCCACGTGGGGCTTCCGGGTTCCCGCACGTCCACCACGGACAGCCCGACAAACAGAACCTGCACGTCAAGCATGTGCTTCAGCACTGAGAACTCTGCGACCGTAATCCACGCTTAGGTGTGGCATCAACATGATGATTTGTCGCCCCGCCGCGGTGGTCTAGTGGCTAAAATACTCGGCTGCTGACCCGCAGGTCGCGGGATCAAATCCCAGCTGCGGCGGCTGCATTTCCGATGGAGGCGGAAATGTTGTAGGTCCATGTGCTCAGATTTGGGTGCCCTTTAAAGAACCCCAGGTGGTCCAAATTTCCGGTACACTAATACTGTGAACAGCGTGAAAAGGCAACACATGCCGCGTCGCCTGCTTTTAATTTCTGTACCGTTTTAGCGCTTCTTAGCATGTTCTGAATGGCGTCGGGGAGAGGAATGCAGGCGGCGTTATATGTGTTAGTACGCCGCGCTAACATCCTCTCACACGTCAAAGTACAGCAGAGAATGAAATAGGACTATGCATGACTAATCGAATGTTGCGATACGAATGGAATACCAGTGAAATCAGTATACGTTGTGTAAGCAATTTTTAGAGGTATGAGGCGGGACTTGGAGTGCCTGGAGCGTGGCGCCGGACGGACTTCATGTTTTCTGGTTTGCCACTATATAGCATGCAATGGACTTATAGAAGTGGCTCCGGTTTTGGGACGTTTTGAGATTACAACCGTCATTTTCCTTACCATGGCTGGCTGCGTCGCCCTCGCCCTCTTTTAAGCTTTCGGTAAATACCGCTAAGATTCATTTGTTATATGCGTCCCTCTTGATGTATAGTATACCAGCGTTTATTATTTCAGAATGCTCGCCGAAAGTGCCCCAACTCCATTGTTCACGTTACTTCCCTGACATGGTTCAGCCCTGCAGTCACTTGGTAGAGCATTGTACGCGTTACTCGAAGGTCGCAGGTTCGGTCCCTGCCAGCGACAAGTTATCTTTTTGTCCCCATTCTTTT